GATCTTTGCAGAAACACGTGTGATTATCAGAGTGCATCACTCAGTGGTGAAATAAACCCAGGAACAGTCTGCAGTGAAGCGGCCTGGTTACTGTCTGTAGTACTGTAGTAGTACTGTAGTAGTACTGTAGTAGTACCGTACAGGAGTCACTTCTTTTAGCTTGGTCCGTGGGGACCAGAAGGTCACAGGTTCGAGTTCAGCATTGCCGAAGGTCCCCCTGAGCTTCAGTTTAACATGAAGAACAGGTCCTGTTCTGTACTGCAGCAGACACATCCACTGATCAAATACTGTGTACTACTACTACTACTGTCCTCTCCTGGCTCACAGCTGGCTGCAGTACCACGAGTACTCTTATTTTACCAAAATCAACAGGACACGTCTCACAAAGACTGCCACTCTGGTACCAGCAGTACAACCGGGACCATAGTACCTCACTAAATGTACTACTTCACTTCTTTCATGTCATCACACATAAAAAAAAATGTATTCTGTATGTACTGAGTATTATTTGTAACAAATACCAGCAGCTGTAGTTTCTGTAGCACTGGTACTAAAAACCAACAATAGTACTACTACCATCTGCAGTAAACCTAATCTCAACTGAAGTGGGAACGTTAATGTATAGCCGCATGTCGTCTTTCCGCCGCTGGTTGTCGAGGTGGTGTCCAGCAAACGATGTGGGCTTTGTAGATCATTGGCAGACTTTCTGGGGAAGACCTGGTCTGATCCGGAGAGACGGCATCCATCCCACTTGGGAAGGAGCAGCTCTCATTTCTAGAAATCTGGCCAAGTTTATTAGTGGACCAAATCCATGACAACCCAGAGTTGAGACCAGGAGGCAGAGTCGCAGTTTAACACACTTCTTATCCGAAAACCCTATAGTGACGGTGTCTGCCCCCGACCATCAAAATTATTTAAATCAAAGGTAAACAGAAGAGGAGCTGTGCATAAAAACCATATAAAAATCATCAACCTCATAAAAATTAAAACCACAAGAGCAATAATGCAAACGAATAGGAGAGTTAAATGTGGACTCTTAAACATCAGATCTCTCTCTTCTAAAGGTGTACTAGTAAATGAACTAATATCAGATTATGATATTGATTTATTTGGTCTTACTGAAACCTGGCTGGGTGATGGAGAATATGTTAGCCTAAATGAATCCACCCCTCCCAGTCATATTAATACTCACATTCCTCGAGGCACAGGCCGAGGAGGTGGAGTTGCAGCTATCTTCGACTCTAGCCTACTAATCAGCTCTAAACCTAAACTAAACTATAACTCATTTGAAAGTCTTGTTCTTAGTCTTTCGCACCCAAGTTGGAAATCACTGCAACCAATTCTTTTTGTTATAGTGTACCGAGCACCTGGCCCGTACTCTGAATTCTTATCTGAATTTGCAGAGTTTTTGTCAACTTTAGTCCTTAAAACGGACAAAGTTATTATTGTAGGAGATTTTAATATTCATGTGGACGTTGAGAATGACAGCTTCAGTACTGCGTTTATCTCTGTTAGATTCCATTGGCTTCTCTCAGAGTGTTCATGAACCGACTCACTGTTTTAACCACACCCTCGACCTTGTTTTGGTGTATGGTATTGAAATTGAACATTTAGTGGTGTTCCCACAGAATCCCTCTTTATCCGACCACTGTTTGATAACTTTTGAGTTTGTATTGCTGAACTACTCGCCATTGGGCAAAAATTTCTATACAAGATGTCTGTCTGATAGTGCTGTAGCTAAATTTAAGGATGCGATTCCATCAGCTCTAAATACATTATCTAGTCACAAAGTAACAGAGGACTCCTATGCTAATTTCAGTCCCTCCCAAATCGATCATCTTGTTGATAGTGCTGCAGGCTGTCAGGCGAATGACACTCGACTCTGTAGCCCCTCTAAAAAAGAAATAATAAAACAAAGACGGTTAGCTCCATGGTATAATACTGAAACTCGCAAATTAAAGCAAATATCACGGAAACCTGAGAGGAATTGGCGTTCTACCAAAGTAGAAAATTCTCGTTTAATTTGGCAAGATAGTCTTAAAACTTATAGGAAGGCCCTCCGTAATGCCAGAGCAGCGTACTACTCGTCATTAATAGAGGAAAATAGGAACAACCCCAGGTTTCTTTTCAGCACTGTAGCCAGGCTGACAGAGAGTCACAGCTCTATTGAGCCAAGTATTCCCATAGCTCTCAGTAGTTACGATTTCATGAGCTTCTTTAATGATAAAATTCTAGCTATTAGAGACAAAATTCACCAAGACCTGCCCTCAATTGGCACCGACTTATCTCTTAACTCAGGAACCTTAGAAACAGCTGTAGAACCAGATACATGTTTAGACTGTTTTGCTTCCCTCAATCTTTACCAACTAACTTCAATAATTTCTTCATCTAAACCATCAACTGCGTCTTAGACCCCATCCCGACTAGGCTGCTTAAAGATGTTTACCCTTAGTCAGCACCTCTATACTAGATATGATCAATCTATCTTTATCAACAGGCTATGTACCACAGTACTTTAAAGTAGCTGTAATTAAAGCTCTTCTGAAAAAGCCCAAACTTGATCCGGATGTTTTAGCCAACTATAGACCTATATCTAACCTTCCATTTCTCTCTAAGGTTCTGGAGAAAGAAGTTGCTAAACAGCTGTGTGACTTTCTACAGAGCAATAGTTTATTTGAGGATTTTCAGTCAGGGTTTAGAGCTCATCATAGCACAGAGACAGCACTGGTGAAAATTACTAACGACCTCCTTATTGCATCAGACAAAGGACTTGTCTCTGTACTGGTTTTATTAGATCTTAGTGCTGCATTTGATACCATTGACCATCAGATCCTATTGCAGAGACTGGAACATTTCATTGGCATTAAAGGACCCGCTCTAAGCTGGTTTAAGTCCTATTTATCAGATCGATTTCAGTTTGTACATGTTAACGATGAGTCCTCCATGCACGCCAAAGTTAGTCATAGAGTTCCTCAAGGATCTGTCCTTGGACCAATCCTCTTCACTTTATATATGCTTCCTTTAGGCAATATTATCAGGAAACATTCCATAAGCTTTCATTGTTATGCAGATGATACTCAGTTATATCTATCGATCAAACCAGATGAAACTCAGTTAGCTAAACTTCAAATGTGCCTTCAGGATGTTAAAACCTGGATGACCTGTAATTTTCTAATGTTAAACTCAGATAAAACTGAAGTTATTGCTCTGGGGCCTAAGCACCTCCGTGACGCATTATCTAAAGATATAGTTTCCCTTGATGGCATCGCCCTGGCCTCCAGCACCACTGTGAGGAATCTTGGAGTTATCTTTGATCAGGACATGCAAATTTCAAGGACCGCCTCCCCCCCAGTCGAGGCAGATGGCCGCCCACCCTGAGCCATGGTTCTGCTCGAGGTTTCTGTCTCTTAAAGGAAGTTTTTCCGTGCCTCTGTCGCCTAGTGCTTGCTCTTGGTGGGAACTGTTGGGCTTCTGTAAATAGCATCATAGAGTACGGTCTAGACCTGCTCTTTTATGAAAAGCGCTGTGAAAGAACTGTTGTTGTGATTTGGCGCTATATAAATAAAACTGAATTGAATGTAGTAGTACTCTGCAGTAACAGTAGGCAGTGTTAGTATTTGTAGCACTGCAGTAGTGTTGTACTGTAACAGTAGGCATTAGTATTTGTAGTAACGTTACTGCAGTAGTGTTGTGCTGTAACAGTAGGCAGTATTAGTATCTGTAATACTACTGTAGTAGTACACAGTATCCGTGTACATGCCCTGTGACCATAGCAGTTAGCTAACGTTAGCTAACAGTCCGGCTGTGGCTGACCCGCTAACGTTACTTTACCGTCACTTTAGCACAACACACCCAGAAACATCCACAGCCAGTCGGTTCCACAAACACCGCGTTCCTCCTCCAGCTCCGGTTAAACCCGGTACCCGGCCCCGGTCTGCCCACAGACCCGTCCAAACACCGACCTCCAACCAAAACAAACAGTTAGCATGAAGCTAAGCTAACCGCACGGCCGTTCTTACCTTGCCAGTTTTGAGAAAATGACTAATATCCTCTTCGGTCGGCGGATTCACGCGGACATCACCGGGGAAACACCGGCGGCCGTTAAACGAGGCGTTAGAGGCGGCAGAGGCCGCTCATGTCTCCGGTCAGAATGGGAAAGTGGAGTTTACCAAAGTCCGGGAGAACTTTTACATCGGCCTTTTTGTTGTGGAGAAACTGCTGCTGCCGCGGTCCGCCATCTTGTGTCTGTGTGCGCGCGCATGTGTAAACTACTCGGATTATTTACTGAGGTAAAAGTACCGCAAAGTAGAAGTATTCTTACTTTATAGCATCTTCTCCACACCTGCCTAAAGTGCATGTACAGTACTTTATATAAATACACACAATACCGTGTATATTTGATGTGATTGTGCTCACAACAATGAACTTCTGTTTAGCAGCATAAACACTAACCAAACACAACAAAATACGAGAAAATAAGAATAAAACACAACAAAGGCAAAAACGATCTCCTGTAAACCTCTCTTTTATGGGCCAACTTTACTTATTTTACGATTCTTATTTTGACACTCCAGGCCGGAAGTGGGTGTGTGATGACGTGTATTGTGAAGTCACTTCCAGTCAGTGGCTCCGTCCCCCTCTGGTCTCCCCTCTCTCTCTCTCTCTCTCTCTCTCTCTCTCTCTGTCTCTGTCTCTGTCTCTCTCTCTCAGGTGATGGACACTCAGAAGGTAAGACTCTGATCAATCCATGATCGATATTATCCGATTGTCGGCGGACAGAGACACAGACAGAGAAAGAGAGAGAGGATTAGCTAGCTGCTAGCTGTTAGCAGCCTCCACCCCCCCTCTCCCCCCCCCCCCCTCTCTGGTCGAGTCAGAATCAGTCTGAATAAAATTATTTAAATACAGTTTAGGTGTTTGTCTCTGCAGGTCTCTCTCACTCTCTCTCTGTCTCCCTCTCTCTGAGCATGCGCACACCTGGCATCAAGGTGCACCTTGTCACAGCTGTGAGTGCGTCAGGTCACACCTGAGTGATGCTGCTGATCTGATAAACACACAGCTCACTTGCAGCAGACACAAAGCTGTAGTTTGTTACCTGAAGCCTCACATCTGTTTAATAACAATTATTATTTTTAATTTTAATCACAGTTCAGTTACACAGTGCTTCATGTACAAGACACACATATGCAAATACAACCACATGATACAGGCAGATATGCACTGCACTGTCAAACTACTGCACTGTTAAACTCCTGCTTTGCATTGTCAAACTATTGTACTGCACTGTCAAACTACTACACTGTCAAACTACCGCACTGCACTGTCAAACTACTACACTGTTAAACTACCGCACTGCACTGTCAGACTACTGCACTGCATATTCAAACTATTGTACTGCACTGTCAAACTACTACACTGTCAAACTACCGCACTGTACTGTCAAACTACTGCACTGCACTGTCAAACTACCGCACTGCACTGTCAAACTACTGCACTGCCAGACTACTGCACTGCATATTCAAACTATTGTACTGCACTGTCAAACTACTACACTGTCAAACTACCGCACTGCACTGCCAAACTACTGCACTGCACTGTCAAACTACCGCACTGCACTGTCAAACTACTGCACTGCACTGTCAAACTACCGCACTGCACTGTCAAACTACTGCACTGCCAGACTACTGCACTGCATATTCAAACTATTGTACTGCACTGTCAAACTACTACACTGTCAAACTACTGCACTGCACTGTCAAACTACTGCACTGCACTGTCAAACTACCGCACTGCACTGTCAAACTACTGTACTGCACTGTCAAACTACTACACAGTTAAACTATAGCACTGTCAAACTACTACCCTGTCAAACAACACTGTCAAACAACACTGTCAAACAACACTGTCAAACTACAGCACAGTTAAACTACAGCACAGTTAAACTACAGCATGTGTTACATTCTTAAAATCAAATCTGTTACACTTCAAAAAAACTGAATTTTGTTTTTAAACTAAAAAACATATGTTTGTGTGTTAAACAGGAAGCTCTTCGCAGGATCATCAGCACATTAACCAATAAGAACGAAGAACTCCAAAACTTCCTGGAAACAGTTGACAACACACTGACTGGACTGCAGGTCAGCAGCTGATTGGCTGACAGGGCTTTGAGAGGAGGGAGAGAAAAAAATAAATAAATAAAAACTTAAGTAAACTTTGTTTGTCCAATCAGGTGGAGTCATGTAAGGTGATGTCAGAGCTGGAGGCGGAACTTGAGCAGCTCCGCTCCGCCCTAGAGGAGAAGGAGGCAGAGCTTTGTGGCATCATTAAAGAGGAGAAGCAGAGGAAAGAGGCGGAGCTTCATGTAAAGAAGCTTTTGTTTAACTTAAACTTTTTTCATTTTGTTGATTTGGTTGTTTGATTATATTTTTTTAAACTTCTGTTTGTTATCTTATTTTAAAATTATGTAGGGATCAGAATGCATTTTATGTAGGAGTTAAAAGATATGAATTACTAATGACATGTCAAACTTGAGGCAAAGTAAATATTTTTAATGTGTTAGAAAACCTTTAAAATTTTAATATTTTATGTTCTAATATTATAAAAGGAGAACATTGAAAGAAAATTATTAAATTTGCAGAAAGAAAATAATTTCTCATTTTCCCACTCAAGGTATTTTTAATTTCTAGCACATTTAAATAACACTTATCTAGAATCACTCACTAATGGCACCAAGCTGCTGGTCTGACCGTCAGGATCAGTCCAGGGTTCAGTGTCTGGCCCAAAGACACTTTGACATGTAGTCAGGAGGAGCCGGGGAATCGAACCACTAATCCTGTGATCAGTGGATGATCCACTCTACCAACTGAGAACATAGCTGCTTCAATGAACTCAGGTGTTCTCTGATAGTTCATTCATTAGTTAGTTTTCTATAGTACTTATCAGACTTGTTTGTGATTTTTCAGAAGCAGCTGTCGGAGGGAAAGTTTGCTCTGCTGTCGTGTGAAGAACTGCTTGAGTTTGCAAATCAAACGCTGACCATCACCAACGAAGAAGAATTCCTAAAGGTAGGATTGGGGGAAGATGAAGAAATACAAAGTGTCTGAAATCATGATTCATTCACTATTAAGCGTAAAAAAAAAGTAGTAACAAGCAAAAAAAATTCATTTAGATGATGCTTTTATCCAAAGCGACTTACAATTGCTATGTATATCAGAGGTCGCACGCCTCTGGAGCAACTAGGCGTTAAGTGTCTTGCTCAGGGACACAATGGTGGATGTGTCACAGTGGGGGATTGAACCCAGGTCTCTCCCACCAAAGGAATGTGTCTTTTCCACTGCCCCATTACAACTCCCCTATTTAAGGTGAATTTTATCTGTTTTCTCTTACAGGCTGCAAAACAAATCAAAGAAAGGTATGAGATATTTTGTCTTTCAGTGTGTCCTGACTGAATGCAATGAGGCGACCGTCAATGAGACAATCAGTGTTTTAGCAATGTAGCAGCTATACACAGCCATGTAGCAGCCACGTAGCAGCCATGTAGCAGCTATACACAGCCATGCAGCAGCCATGTAGCAGCCACGTAGCAGCCATGCAGCAGCCATGCAGCAGCCATGTAGCAGCCACGTAGCAGCCATGTAGCAGCCATGCAGCAGCCATGCAGCAGCCATGTAGCAGCCATGTAGCAGCCATGCAGCAGCCATGCAGCAGCCATGCAGCCGCCATCCAGCAGCCATGCAGCAGCCATGTAGCAGCTATACACAGCCATGCAGCAGCCATCCAGCAGCCATGTAGCAATTATACACAGCCATGTAGCAGCCACGTAGCAGCCATGTAGCAGCTATACACAGCCATGTAGCAGCCATGTAGCAGCCATGTAGCAGCTATACACAGCCATGCAGCAGCCATGTAGCAGCTATACACAGCCATGCAGCAGCCATGTAGCAGCCATGCAGCAGCCATGCAGCCGCCATGCAGCCGCCATCCAGCAGCCATGCAGCAGCCATGTAGCAGCCATGTAGCAGCCATGCAGCAGCCATGCAGCAGCCATGCAGCCGCCATCCAGCAGCCATGCAGCAGCCATGCAGCAGCTATACACAGCCATGCAGCAGCCATCCAGCAGCCATGTAGCAGTTATACACAGCCATGCAGCAGCCATGCAGCAGCCATGCAGCAGCCATGTAGCAGCTATACACAGCCATGCAGCAGCCATGTAGCAACTATACACAGCCATGCAGCAGCCATCCAGCAGCCATGCAGCAGCCATCCAGCAGCCATGTAGCAGCCATGTAGCAACTATACGCAGCCATGCAGCAGCCATGTAGCAGCCATGTAGCAGCTATACACACCCATGCAGCAGCCATGCAGCAGCCATGTAGCAGCCATGCAGCAGCCATCCAGCAGCCATGTAGCAGCCATGTAGCAACTATACACAGCCATGCAGCAGCCATGCAGCAGCCATGTAGCAACTATACACAGCCATGTAGCAGCCATGTAACAGCCTTGTAGCAGCTATACACAGCCATGTAGCAGCCATCCAGCAGCCATGCAGCAGCCATCCAGCAGCCATGTAGCAGCCATGTAGCAACTATACACAGCCATGCAGCAGCCATGCAGCAGCCATGTAGCAACTATACACAGCCATGTAGCAGCCATGTAACAGCCTTGTAGCAGCTATACACAGCCATGCAGCAGCCATCCAGCAGCCATGTAGCAGCCATGTAGCAACTATACACAGCCATGCAGCAGCCATGCAGCAGCCATGTAGCAACTATACACAGCCATGTAGCAGCCATGTAACAGCCTTGTAGCAGCTATACACAGCCATGCAGCAGCCATCCAGCAGCCATGTAGCAGCCATGTAGCAACTATACACAGCCATGCAGCAGCCATGCAGCAGCCATGTAGCAACTATACACAGCCATGTAGCAGCCATGTAACAGCCTTGTAGCAGCTATACACAGCCATGCAGCAGCCATGTAGCAACTATACACAGCCATGCAGCAGCCATCCAGCAGCCATGCAGCAGCCATCCAGCAGCCATGTAGCAGCCATGTAGCAACTATACGCAGCCATGCAGCAGCCATGTAGCAGCCATGTAGCAGCTATACACACCCATGCAGCAGCCATGCAGCAGCCATGTAGCAGCCATGCAGCAGCCATCCAGCAGCCATGTAGCAGCCATGTAGCAACTATACACAGCCATGCAGCAGCCATGCAGCAGCCATGTAGCAACTATACACAGCCATGTAGCAGCCATGTAACAGCCTTGTAGCAGCTATACACAGCCATGTAGCAGCCATCCAGCAGCCATGCAGCAGCCATCCAGCAGCCATGTAGCAGCCATGTAGCAACTATACACAGCCATGCAGCAGCCATGCAGCAGCCATGTAGCAACTATACACAGCCATGTAGCAGCCATGTAACAGCCTTGTAGCAGCTATACACAGCCATGCAGCAGCCATCCAGCAGCCATGTAGCAGCCATGTAGCAACTATACACAGCCATGCAGCAGCCATGCAGCAGCCATGTAGCAACTATACACAGCCATGTAGCAGCCATGTAACAGCCTTGTAGCAGCTATACACAGCCATGTAGCAGCCATCCAGCAGCCATGTAGCAGCCATGTAGCAACTATACACAGCCATGCAGCAGCCATGCAGCAGCCATGTAGCAACTATACACAGCCATGTAGCAGCCATGTAACAGCCTTGTAGCAGCTATACACAGCCATGCAGCAGCCATCCAGCAGCCATGCAGCAGCCATCCAGCAGCCTTGTAGCAGCCATGTAGCAACTATACACAGCCATGCAGCAGCCATGCAGCAGCCTTGTAGCAGCCATGTAGCAGCTATACACAGCCATGCAGCAGCCATGTAGCAGCTATACACAGCAATGCAGCAGCCTGTAGAAGCTATACACAGCCATGCAGCAGCCATGTAGCAGCTATACGCAGCCATACAGCAGCCATGTAGCAGCTATCCACAGCCATGCAGCAGCCTTGTAGCAGCCATGTAGCAACTATACACAGCCATGCAGCAGCCTTGTAGCAGCCATGCAGCAACTATACACAGCCATGCAGCAGCCTTGTAGCAGCTATCCACAGCCATGGAGCAGCCATGTAGCAGCTTTCCACAGCCATGCAGCAGCCATGTAGCAGCTATCCACAGCCATTCAGCAGCCATGTAGCAGCTATACAAAGCCATGTAGCAGCCATGCAGCAGCCTTGTAGCAGCCATGCAGCAGCCATGCAGCAGCCATGTAGCAGCTATACACAGCTATACACAGCTATACACAGCCATGCAGCAGCCATGTAGCAGCTATACACAGCTATGTAGCAGCTATACACAGCCATGTAGCAGCTATACACAGCCATGCAGCAGCCATGTAGCAGCCATGTAGCAACTATACACAGCCATGCAGCAGCCTTGTAGCAGCCATGTAGCAGCTATACACAGCCATGCAGCAGCCATGCAGCAGCCATGTAGCAGCCATGTAGCACTATACACAGCCATGCAGCAGCCTTGTAGCAACTATACGCAGCCATGCAGCAGCCATGTAGCAGCCATGTAGCAGCTATACACAGCCATGCAGCAGCCATGTAGCAGCCATGTAGCAACTATACACAGCCATGCAGCAGCCATGTAGCAGCCATGTAGCAGCTATACACAGCCATGTAGCAACTATACACAGCCATGCAGCAGCCATGCAGCAGCCATGCAGCAGCTATACACAGCCATGCAGCAGCCTTGTAGCAGCCATGTAGCAGCTATACGCAGCCATGCAGCAGCCATGTAGCAGCCATGTAGCAGCTATACACAGCCATGCAGCAGCCATGTAGCAACTATACACAGCAATGCAGCAGCCATGCAGCAGCTATACACAGCCATGTAGCAACTATACACAGCCATGCAGCAGCCATGCAGCAGCCATGCAGCAGCTATACACAGCCATGCAGCAGCCTTGTAGCAGCCATGTAGCAGCTATACGCAGCCATGCAGCAGCCATGTAGCAGCCATGTAGCAGCTATACACAGCCATGCAGCAGCCATGTAGCAACTATACACAGCAATGCAGCAGCCTTGTAGCAGCTATACACAGCCATGTAGCAGCCATGTAGCAACTATACGCAGCCATGCAGCAGCCATGTAGCAGCCATGTAGCAGCTATACGTAGCCATGCAGCAGCCATGCAGCAGCCATGTTGCAGCCATGTAGCAGCCATGCAGCAGCCATCCAGCAGCCATGTAGCAGCCATGTAACAGCTATACACAGCCATGCAGCAGCCATGTAGCAGCTATACGCAGCCATGTAGCAGCCATGTAACAGCTATACACAGCCATGCAGCAGCCATGTAGCAGCTATACACAGCCTTGTAGCAGCCATGTAGCAGCTATACGCAGCCATGCAGCAGCCATGTAGCAGCCATGTAGCAACTATACACAGCCATGCAGCAGCCATGTAGCAACTATACACAGCCATGCAGCAGCCATGTAGCAGCCATGTAGCAACTATACACAGCCATGCAGCAGCCATGTAGCAGCCATGTAGCAGCTATACACAGCCATGCAGCAGCCTTGTAGCAGCCATGTAGCAGCTATACACAGCCATGCAGCAGCCATGTAGCAGCCATGTAGCAACTATACACAGCCATGCAGCAGCCATGCAGCAGCCATGCAGCAGCCATGCAGCAACTATACACAGCCATGCAGCAGCCTTGTAGCAGCCATGTAGCAGTTATACACAGCCATGCAGCAGCCATGCAGCAGCCATGCAGCAGCCATGTAGCAGCTATACACAGCCATGCAGCAGCCATGTACCAGCCATGTACCAGCTATACACAGCCATGCAGCAGCCATGCAGCAGCCATGTAGCAGCCATGTAGCGGCCATGTAGCAGTTATACACAGCCATGCAGCAGCCATGCAGCAGCCATGCAGCAGCCATGTAGCAGCCATGTAGCGGCCATGTAGCAGTTATACACAACCATGCAGCAGCCATGTAGCAGCTATACACAGCAATGCAGCAGCCTTGTAGCAGCTATACACAGCCATGCAGCAACTATACACAGCCATGCAGCAGCCATGCAGCAGCCATGTAGCAGCTATACACAGCATGCAGCAGCCTTGTAGCAGCCATGTAGCAGCTATACACAGCCATGCAGCAGCCATGTAGCAGCCATGCAGCAGCCATGCAGCAGCCATGCAGCCGCCATCCAGCAGCCATGCAGCAGCCATGTAGCAGCTATACACAGCCATGCAGCAGCCATCCAGCAGCCATGTAGCAGTTATACACAGCCATGCCAGCCATCCAGCAGCCATGTAGCAGTTATACACAGCCATGCAGCAGCCATGCAGCAGCCATGTAGCAGCTATACACAGCCATGCAGCAGCCATGTAGCAACTATACACAGCCATGCAGCAGCCATCCAGCAGCCATGCAGCAGCCATCCAGCTGCCATGTAGCAGCCATGTAGCAACTATACGCAGCCATGCAGCAGCCATGTAGCAGCCATGTAGCAGCTATACACAGCCATGCAGCAGCCATGCAGCAGCCATGTAGCAGCCATGCAGCAGCCATCCAGCAGCCATGTAGCAGCCATGTAGCAACTATACACAGCCATGCAGCAGCCATGCAGCAGCCATGTAGCAACTATACACAGCCATGTAGCAGCCATGTAACAGCCTTGTAGCAGCTATACACAGCCATGTAGCAGCCATCCAGCAGCCATGCAGCAGCCATCCAGCAGCCATGTAGCAGCCATGTAGCAACTATACACAGCCATGCAGCAGCCATGCAGCAGCCATGTAGCAACTATACACAGCCATGTAGCAGCCATGTAACAGCCTTGTAGCAGCTATACACAGCCATGCAGCAGCCATCCAGCAGCCATGTAGCAGCCATGTAGCAACTATACACAGCCATGCAGCAGCCATGCAGCAGCCATGTAGCAACTATACACAGCCATGTAGCAGCCATGTAACAGCCTTGTAGCAGCTATACACAGCCATGTAGCAGCCATCCAGCAGCCATGCAGCAGCCATCCAGCAGCCATGTAGCAGCCATGTAGCAACTATACACAGCCATGCAGCAGCCATGCAGCAGCCATGTAGCAACTATACACAGCCATGCAGCAGCCATGTAACAGCCTTGTAGCAGCTATACACAGCCATGTAGCAGCCATCCAGCAGCCATGCAGCAGCCATCCAGCAGCCTTGTAGCAGCCATGTAGCAACTATACACAGCCATGCAGCAGCCATGCAGCAGCCTTGTAGCAGCCATGTAGCAGCTATACACAGCCATGCAGCAGCCATGTAGCAGCTATACACAGCAATGCAGCAGCCTTGTAGAAGCTATACACAGCCATGCAGCAGCCATGTAGCAGCTATACGCAGCCATACAGCAGCCATGTAGCAGCTATCCACAGCCATGCAGCAGCCTTGTAGCAGCCATGTAGCAACTATACACAGCCATGCAGCAGCCTTGTAGCAGCCATGCAGCAACTATACACAGCCATGCAGCAGCCTTGTAGCAGCTATCCACAGCCATGGAGCAGCCATGTAGCAGCTTTCCACAGCCATGCAGCAGCCATGTAGCAGCCATGTAGCAACTATACACAGCCATGCAGCAGCCTTGTAGCAGCCATGTAGCAGCCATGTAGCAGCCATGTAGCAGCCATGTAGCAACTATACACAGCCATGCAGCAGCCATGTAGCAGCCATGTAGCAACTATACACAGCCATGCAGCAGCCTTGTAGCAGCCATGTAGCAGCTATACATAGCCATGCAGCAGCCATGTAGCAGCCATGTAGCAACTATACACAGCCATGCAGCAGCCTTGTAGCAGCCATGTAGCAGCTATACACAGCCATGCAGCAGCCATGTAGCAGCCATGTAGCAGCTATACACAGCCATGCAGCAGCCATGTAGCAGCCATGTAGCAACTATACACAGCCATGCAGTAGCCTTGTAGCAGCCATGTAGCAACTATACACAGCCATGCAGCAGCCATGTAGCAGCCATGTAGCAGCTATACATAGCCATGCAGCAGCCATGTAGCATCCATGTAGCAGCTATACACAGCCATGCAGCAGCCATGTAGCAGCCATGTAGCAACTATACACAGCCATGCAGCAGCCATGTAGCAGCCATGCAGCAACTATACACAGCCATGCAGCAGCCTTGTAGCAGCCATGTAGCAGCTATACACAGCCATGCAGCAGCCTTGTAGCAGCCATGTAGCAGCCATGTAGCAACTATACACAGCCATGCAGCAGCCTTGTAGCAGCCATGTAGCAGCTATACACAGCCATGCAGCAGCCATGCAGCAGCCATGTAGCAGCCATGTAGCAACTATACACAGCCATGCAGCAGCCTTGTAGCAGCCATGTAGCAGCTATACACAGCCATGCAGCAGCCTTGTAGCAGCCATGCAGCAGCCATGCAGCAGCCATGCAGCAGCCATGTAGCAGCCATGTAGCAACTATACACAGCCATGCAGCAGCCTTGTAGCAGCCATGTAGCAACTATACACAGCCATGCAGCAGCCTTGTAGCAGCCATGTAGCAGCTATACACAGCCATGCAGCAGCCTTGTAGCAGCCATGTAGCAGCTATACACAGCCATGCAGCAGCCATAGTAAAAAGCTAGAAACTGCTTTCATAATAGAACCACTTGCTGTGGGTTCCAGTTCCAGTGAAGGACACAAAAAACATCAAAATATTGAAATTGTAGAAAGGTAGAAAGATGGCACATAACTTTACTCACCATTCTTTTCCTTGAGTGGTTACCTCTCTGTCTGACAGAAACAGGTCCGGGCTCTGTTGACATCATGTAATGGACCGATGGTACCCGACGCTTGCATTCAGTTAGGACACGGCTTTTGTGTTTCATCCTGTTTACTGTCACTGTTCAGTTCTAGTCACATTTTAATTTTTGTATTGTAATTGTATTTGTTTGTGTTTATTTTTATTTTAACAGTCAGTTTTAGTTTTTTAATATTGATTCTGTTTTTTTCTGTCTCTTCTACCCTCACGTCTTCTCAGACACTTTCAAACTAACAAGTCAAAGTTCAGACTTACAAATGAATCACAGTTCTGAAATTATTTTCCTTTAAGCCACGCCCCTTAACAGTACTAACCCTCCCTCGCTGAAACCCCGCCACTTGTTGTTGCCAGGGTAACTATGGCTCCAGCTTTCCGGCTGACGACTCGTCTGGTGGTATCGGAAAACATGTCGCAATTTACAGTTGACTTCAGCGCAGAGAGGGCGGGGCTTCAACGACTTCAGTTCCTGCCAGGTGAGGAACACCTTTTTTAAATTGTCTCTCTTTGGTCAGTTTATGAGGGGATTTATTAGTTAGAGCAGGAAAGTACCTCTTTTTCTTGGTAAGAAGAATCAAGTTTTGCAATGACTGGGTCTGCTACGCAGCACCCCCAAACACACGCCATGGTCGGAAAAAAATTATTATTACAGACATCTTCAGTTTCCATGACAACTGAGCAAAGTCCACTGGAGATGAAGACAGTGTGAAACTGTTGAAAGCTCCAGATTCGTCTCGTTCACAGTATCTGACCTGTTCCCACAGTTCCCAGAGCACCAGAGATCGACGTCTCCAGTTATGTCATCCGTGACAACTCCATCACGGTTGCCTGGCGACCAGCTTGTGAGGCTGATGGTGACGGTGTCAGCGGACGAATTGAATTTTACGAACTCGAATACCGAAAAACAAATCACGACAGCTCACTGAGAGCCGCAGGAGAAACATGCTGGGAAAAAATCCCCGATATCAGAGAGACAAAAATCACCATCTCAGGTGAGGGGTCAGGTGTGAGGTGAGGGCTCAGATCTCAGGTGAGGGGTCAAGGAGACTATTTAAACTGTGATGTGGTCTTCCTGTGCTTCTGTTTCAGGGCTGAAATTTGACTCTCGGTTCGTCGTTGTTCGTGTTCGAGCGAGAAACAAAGCAGCCGCTGGCGAGTTCTCTGAACCCGTCGCCATAGAAACCAGAGGTGAACACATGAGTGAGATGACAAAAATGTTAGAAGTCCTCGTTTCAGGGCGAGAGCGATATAGACAGAATGAAACAAGTTACTGTTTTTCTACATAATATATACAAACATATACTGTAGGTATAGTGTGTGTGTGAGTATATACTGTAGGTATAGTGTGTGTGAGTATATACTGTAGGTATAGTGTGTGTGAGTATATACTGTAGGTATAGTGTGTGTGAGTATATACTGTAGGTATAGTGTGTGAGTATATACTGTAGGTATAGGTGTGTGGATATA